AATATATATATATATATATATATATATATATATATATATATATATATATTGCTACTTCAATTCCATTTCATCTCTTATCTCATCTGCCTCACACACTGCACTATCTCTACATTATCTAATCGAGTTCTAATTGAGTGGAAGAGATTCATCTATCTTTAACTAATGATTATTGGCTTTAAATGTGGAGCAACTTTAAATCTCCAGACTATCACAATTGTCTTACCCTAATTAGATGTGTCTACAATTTAGCAAATGAATTAGTGACTATGTCCGTCTTTACATTAACTTAATCTTTACAAAAAGGTATTTTAGGCTTTTATTTTCTTCTTCAAATTCAAAGAACAAAAAAAAAAGGAAAAATAATTGAGGGAAAACAATTTATAGTTGATATTTATGCAAAAGAGCATTGCTTGTTTTACCTTTCCTTTTTCAAACAAGCTACTTAATTTAAAAGGACCCTTAATCCACCGTTTTTTCCCTAGATATCCATATACAATAGAGTTAATAGTTAAATAGTTTAAACAGAAGGTTATAAGCTCGACTCCCAACAAGAACAAGTCTACCTGCTTTCTTGATTTGAGTTTGGTCCTTTGCCGACCACACTTTAGGATAGTGGTTGTGGGTTTCCCTCGTTATTAACCTTTGCCGACCACACTTTAGGATAGTGGTTGTGGGTTTCCCTCGTTATTAAAAAACTAGTTTTTTACGCGCGATTGGAATAATGTTTTTTTGAATAATGCTCAATATATTTTTTTAATAAATACATTAAAGTAGATCAAAGCAAAATTATATTGGAATTGTTCATGCATAGATAATTGAATGTTGAGTTTGCGTATTTAAATAGGTAATTCTATGTTAAAAATTAGGGCATAAGATATTAAATATATACTAATATTGAAGAGCTAACTGCTAATTGCCAAACAATGACATTAAGAGGTAGTTTCACACTTCAATTTGTTGTGTGATCTGAATACTTTTTTTTGTCAATAAATCCCCCAAGTAGTTAATATGTTTGGCTTAATTATATTCTTTTTATTTTATTTTTATTTTTTGAAGACAATATTATTATTATTAGTATACCTTTAGGTCATTTTACATGTTAATCTAAACTGCTAATTTTTTCAAATATCTTTTTGTCAACCGTTGATATAATTCGCAGGTCAAATCCGCTAACGCTAACCGCTAACGACTGATTGTCAAACAAGGACATTACGAGGTAGTTCACACTTCAATTTATTGTGTGATTTGAATACTCTCTTTGTCAACAAATCCCTCAAGTAGTTAATATGATTGACTTTATTAATTATATATATTTTTTAATTTTTTCATCGTATTAATAAAATACTTGGTAAATAAATATATATCATTATTTTGTATTATAATTTTGATATTTAATTAGAAAATAATGCACAAAAAAAAAATAGACAATGTAGTGAATATAATCAATTGATGAATTTGAATGTAAAGAATTTTTACATTGGAGAAATATAAAAACAATATAACTAATAAAATTATTTCTCTTAATTAATTTATTGATAATGAATAATTTTTTTAATAAAGATTTTGTAGGGACAATGTATAGTAGCAAATATAATCAATTGATGAATTTGAATGTAAAGAATTTTTATATTGGAGAAAAATAAAGACAATATAACTAATGAAATTATTTCTCTGATTTAATTTATTGATAATGAATAATTTCTTTGAATAAAGATTTTAGACACATAATTCTAAATTAAAGAAATGTATATGTATTATTTTGTGTTGTAGCTACTAAATTATTATTTTTAATTTAGTAAGAGTAAAACAGAGTACTAATTATGTCAATTTTGATTGAGATGAGGTTCGAACCTAAGACATTTCTTATTGAAATCAATGAGTAAGTTAACGGTGAACTAACAGAAATTAACGGAAAAGATAATATTTAACGGAAAAGTTAACGGTTAGTCATATTCATTAAGGATAAATTAGGAAATCTTAAGAAAAAATTAAAATCTGATCAATCTGAGCCATTCATTTGATTAAAAAAAATTGACCGCCATTTTTTCTACCCATTATAGGCCTAACTCCCTTGGGCTCTTATTAGTATAGTAGATAATAATTTTTTTGTGAGGTGTCCTGAGTATGACAAAGTACTAGCTAGATTTTTTTTTTTTTTTTTTTTTTTTTTTTTTTTTTTTTAACGAGAGGGGATTCGAACTCCTGACCTCTTACAGCATGTTTGGTTCACGGAATGAATTTTGAGGTAATAGGAATGCTATTCCATAAGGAATGGAATAGGCAAGGAATAGAATAGGAATTATATTATATTGTTTGGTTCACAGAAGGAATAGACTTTAGGAATTATATTACAGTGTTTGGTTGATTTAAGGAATAGAAATGAAATATGTTTTAAAAGACATAAATACCCTTATAAAAATATGTGATGGTGGCGGTGGTGGTGGTGGTGGTGGCGGCGGCGGTGGTGGTGGTGATGGTGGTGGCGATGGTGGTGATGGTGGTGGCGGCAGTGACAGTGGTGGGGGCGATGGTGGTGGTGGTGACGGTGACGGTGACAGTTGTGGCAGTGGTGGTGGGGGCGGCGACGGTTGTGGTGGCGGTGGTGGTGGCGGCGGCGGCGATGGTGCTACTGGGTGGTGGTTCTAGTGGTTTTGGTGGTGGCGGCGGCGGCGGCGGCAATGGTGGTGGCGGTGGTGGCGGTGGCAGTGGTGGGGGCGACGGTGGTGGTGGGGGCAGCGACGGTTGTGGCGATGGTGGTGGTGGTGACGACGGTGGTGAAATAGGATAAATTTATATATAGGATAAAAAAATTATGTTAAAGAAAGGGGTAAAAAAGAAAATAGATTCTAAAATTTATTCCTGAGCGTTCAGTAATAGGCTAATACCCGGGGGGAGGGGGGGGGGGGGGGCTAGTAATAACTATTACCTTATTTGAGGTAATAGGCTATTACCAGGAATAATATTCCTGGTAATAGAAATGGTTATCAAACAAAGGAATAGGCCTATTACTGGGAATGCTATGTCATTCCCGGCCTATTCCGTGAACCAAACGGCCATTAAAGGATGAGATTGTACGGCCACTCACGCCAACCAAGCCGGTTAAAAAAAATAGTTAAATAGTTTAAACAATAATAAATGAATACAACAAAAACTCGTTAATTCACATGGACATTTGTACAAGCTGCTATGATGCATATATTCAAACCACAAAATGTTGACATCATGAACAAATTTGGAGAATTAAGTTGTGGGCAGGCCAGATGGAATCTTTAAATAAGCCATAATTTAACATGTCTTGGTGCATGCATTTCTTTTACAGGAATATATGAAGGAATTGTTTGGCTGGGCATGGAGAGTGGGATAGCCCAAAAAGGGATAACAATTTCACATGTAATGTGATTATCAGAGGGAATGAGAATGCCATGATAATGAATAGGCAAAATAAAGTAATGGCACAAACTATATATATGCAAAATGGTTTAAAGAAAAAGAATAAAACGAAGTTTTTCAAGAAAGTAAGATGACATAATTTTATTTATTTATGTTTTTGTTCCCAAGAGCTTGAATCGATCCCCAATCCCAAGGACCACATCCGAAAAGGTGTAAATCATGATAATTCAGCTGCTAGACATATACTTACTGAGCACAAGGAGTCCTAACTTTGAGAGGTTATGTTGCTTGGTGAGACTCAATCACGAGTCATATTCCCAAACAGCCAATTTTCATTCCAATGACCAAACTTCACCCATGTGACCAATTAAGCTGTCCATTCTGGCATTATTTATTTATTTATTTATTATTTTGTAATTTATTTTTTTTTGAAGGCGAGGCAATGTGGATCAAACCTCTCCACAGTCTATAATCCTCAAAGCAAGGGCCAAAACAATTGATACGAAAAACTATGAAAACAACCACATGCTTTCTTCCCTTAGCCTTTCTCTCTCTCTCTCTCTCCCCCCCCCCCCCCCCCCCTAACCCCTCACCCCCTTTCTATTTGTGCATCACCCACTAATCATTGCCAAGAATAACAACAAATTCCATTGACCCTATGGTGACAACCAATAAGTGCTATCCAACACCTTCTTTTGTATCCAATAGGGCTTCTCCACATCTTCAACTCATAACCTTTTTAAAAAAAATTAATGGTTTTAAAATTTGTATTTATTTAATTAATTTATTCTTAAAATAACATGCATAAAACAAAAGAAGGAATATGTGTAATGTGTTATTCTTCTCCTTTTCTCTTCTCTATGACTCTAGTCTTCACCTCCCTTGCTTTTCAAGTTTCTAATATGATCAATTCAGAAGTAGTCACAAATGGGAGGTCACGGGTTCAAACTCCAATGGAAAAATTAACTCTTTGTGCTTCAGTAGTTTGAGAAAATATGTATGGACATATATTATAATGTAACAGACCAACAATATATATATCACGAGGTTGATTTAATTTAGTTTTGGTTTTATTCACATGTAGCTATATATACTAGCATGTTAGTGAGTTCCCTATAACCCAATAGGGTAGCTTAAGTGGCAAATGAGCTCTTTTTGTTGGGAGAATTTTGAAATAATCCGGATTTGATTCTCACAAGTGACGATTCTCTTTGGACCAGCTTATGTGCCTCTTGGAGCGAACTGAGTGGTTTCTTGGACCACATTGTGGTTTCCACCAACAAAAGTGAGTTCCCTATAAAAATGGGAAAATTTTTACCCATAGCCAATATTCAATTCAACCCTGGGTTCAATGAATTTGTTATTTTGTCATCTAATGGCCACTCTTCAATCTTTGAAACAGTGATTTTTCCACTTTTTATGTATTGATGATAGACATCTTTTTGGCATGTTTGGTGGAGTGTTGAAATCAACAAGTAGAACTTAGCTTGTTGCTGCCCTCTCATTCAACACATTGTAAATGACTAGGTTGTAAAATAATTAAATATTTCTACCTAATAATAAAATATATATATAAATAAATAAGTTCCATTTGGAAGATTATAAGTTTG